CGCTGGCGTGCGGGCTGGGGCGCTGGCGCGCGCGCTGGCGTGCTTGCAGCAGTGCACAGGGGCCCGACAGACAGGCAGGGTTTCAAATAGGACCGACCAATTTCAAAAAGTATTCGACCAATTTTCTTGAAATTTTTACACATTAAAATAGACCCAGAAAGTCATATTTTCACAAAGTTTCAGACTCAACACTTCAGTTTAACCTAAGCAACCGATTTTTATAAAAAGGCGATGCAAATCTGAATTTTCTAATTCTCCGAGCAATCCTTTGAATTCTTCAACGAAAGTTTAACACAACACCTATAACATCACATTACAAACACTCACCATAAATCACAGTAAAACACCAAGAATTCGATTTTTAATGATTTTTCAAAGTTTCTGCCCAGAACTTCAAATCGACATTTGACATAGCTACAAACATCATTTCGACTTGAAATTTTTACACCATATATAATACCAACATAGGGTCATACAATTCAATATTCGCATCAATCAGACGAATACACAATTTATAATGATTTTTCAAACGTTCAGCAGCAAAACCCGATTCAAAAATGCATAAATGACAAATTACTCAACAATAACGTCTAAGGCCTTCACCATGAGGCCAAAGACTTAAAATGTTCCAATAATCCACAGCCCTAATCATGATTTAAGCATAATTCACATACGAACACAAATAACGAACGTATCTTGAAATTAATCGATCATTATTCAAACATTCCAAGACAAATCCGATTTAAACCAAGATGAAACAACTCAAAACACATTGAAATGAGAAGCTACAACCATCAAGTACCGTTCTCGTGGTCCTTGCACTAAAAAGCACAAGGGAAAAGGGTTCGAAGGCTCGAAGGCGTGCCCGGGGCGGCTCGGCGGTGGGGGCTCGGCTCATCGGAGGCTGGGATCACCTTGAACAGAGGTGGGCTGCTCCTTTCTAGCCTGGGGATACTCGAACAGGGGCGGGGGTTCGAGGGTTGGCCATGGTCCTTGCTCGTTGGTCGCCGGGGTGTGCGGTGGAGGCGGCGATCGGGAGTGGAGAGGGAGAAGAGGGTGGCGGCTGATGGAGAGTGAGTGGGAGGGTTTTAGAGGCTTGAGGAGGGGAAAAGAAGGGTTTAAATAGGGCTGGAAATGCCCTACTTACCATATGGGGCGCGTTGGGCTGCGCGCGGGCCTGGGCACGGTGATGAGGATCGTGTGTTTCGACTGCCGATAAGCCGCTAACCCGCGCCTTGAATCGCCGATAGTGTTTCTCTAGCCACAACCGCGCCTATTGAAACGATAAAATTGCAATAGTATTCTGGTGAAAAGACTAAAGCAAAGTTGGAAGAACAAAGTTCTAGGCTTCTATTGATTTCTTGGATTATTCCAAATAACATGGGGGA